ACACAACATCATGATAGTTCTCCAGTAGGAAAGCTGTATTTTCCAGAATGTCAGTGTGTTGGAGACCTTCTCCCACCACCACAAGTATAGGAGATCATTGGTGGCTCACTGAAAAGGGTTGGGAGAGGGACCAGACCCTGGGATATGAGTAACATCACTGGTGACAAAACATGATCTGATTTGGATTTATAATTAACCAAACTGTTTTCTTAAGATCAGTCTTAAATATTGCACACTTTGTAATATTCCAGCCAGAACATGGTACATACTTTTGCTCTGTCAGCTTCCAGAGAGATTCGGTAAGCTTCATCCTGTTCCCTCTTCACATTTTCTCGGGCCTCACGTTCATCCTAGGATAGGAAAAAGACAGGAAGGTAAAAAAAACTAGTTTGGTACTTCCAAATCAATATTCACCCCAGTACAAATATCCAGTTTGGAGTGCATCTGTCCTTTGCTTACAGCATACTAAAATTTGGGGAAGACAGGTTGAAAGAAAAGAACGTTAGTTAGGTGTAAGAAATTATTTTATTTGATATTTGATCCAGGTTTTAAAAGGACACACTAGATTATTTCACATTAAGGAATTTCCCTGCCTTGATTCTGACACAACTACAATGGGCTACAGCCTTTTAGTTTGGTATGACTAGTACAAATTTCTGATGTAAACGATATTAGTTATCATCAAGTCTTAGAGCTGGGATCTGGAAGTTCCCAACTAACTCTTACTAAGTGAACCATATGCCGTGCTGGAATCAACTAGAATATCCCTGACAGATGGCTGTCAGCTTTTGCTTAAATACCGCCAATAAAGAAAATCAATCATCCCATACAGAAGAATGGGCAACAATACTGCTGCCTTCCAATCTCCTTTGGCTGCTGATAGTTTGTGCCATTTTCTGTCACTTCTACTGTTCTCTCTTTCTTGGTAAATGTGTTGCTGTGCTGCAAGAAAACTATAGCATATCCTGGCTCCAGCATCTTCTTTTAACCCTAAAGCAAGGTGCAGCTTTTTGGAATGCATGCTGATTCCCATCTAAGAAAAACTTCAGAAAGGAGAGAGGATGGCTGGTCCAAAGAGCCATATACCCACTCCAATTAAGTCTAAAAACACCATTATATGAGGCACTGGAGACAAATGTAGGGATACTTGGAATGTCAAGTGTACCCTGTTGCTTTGTCCTCTGCACCCAAAAAAAGAGTGGCTGCCCAGATAATACCTGTGCATTAAGGCTGAGCCCTAAGATAAGTTGCCTCGTGTGATTACACAGAATTAAGACACAAGCACACTTGCACATGCACACAAACAATAAAAATAAAATAGATAAACAAAAGGAAAGACAGTAACATATGTGAGAGAAAATGCCTTTGTCATTAGCTCTGAAACATAAATACTGTGGGTGCCAAACAAGCTTTCTTAGGGATGGTATTCCAGAAGCAGAGATCGACAACTCAGAAGGCCTTTACTACAGTCACTGGCCTAAGTTTACTTAGGGGAGGGCAATCAGAATAGGAACTCAACCATCATAAGACAGAACTTTCAATTCAGTCAACCAAGATCTGCTTCATTATCTATTTATTAGCTTGCAGGAATGAGACAAAAGTCCCCCCCCCAAAAAAAAACATTTGGATTTCATGGATTATTTAACAATTATTATTGCTGTTAATGACTGCACATGATTCAGCTTTGTGCTGAATTTTTGTTGCTATGCTTATTGATTTTTTAATATTGACTTTATTTTTAACATTTACTCTCACTGGAAATATTTTATTACTCACCTTCTAAGTTCCACTGAGAATCAGTAATATGAAATTGGCAAACTTGGAAAAATTAAAACAAATCTTCTGCTCAGCTTTAAAACAAAAATATCTTGCTTTTATTATAAATCCAGAACTTTGAACTCAGTGAAAAAAAAAAACACCTTAAACTAGGTGAGGAGTAGAAACTTGGCTGGGGGTGGGGGATACTGAGGGTGATCAAAGATATTGGGGCCCTAAAACCCAACTGGATTTTCTAATATTGGCAGGTAATTTTCTTTTTCAGACCAATAATTCATCAACATTTCAGGAGTTCTTCTAGGTTTAATTCTTCCTTTTTTGGCATTCTTTAGAAGAACAGACCAAAAAAAGGGATGTCAGGAATGGAAAGATATATTATGCATGACTGCCTTGCTATGGCACAAAGATGTGAAATGACACCACTGAACTTCAATTTTAAGTTAACAGTTTCTTACTCAGATGTACCTTCTCATCAAGTTCATGGTTAGACAATGAAACATTGTTTATCTAAGGCAGAGATTTAACTATCTAAAATATTTGCATAGTTTTTTTAATGGTATGTTTTAATTAAGGTTGAGTTGCACTGCAGAGCAAGCAATTTGCAGTGCAAGACTTCATCAGTATACAACAAGATTACAGTCAAAATGGTGATACTCTTTTGTACATGCAAAAATAAATATTTGCATACTGCAAGCACAAGCTTTCCTTCCAAAGTCCCTTAGTGCTTTAGTAAAGGACATGTCTCTTCCATTGAGCCTTTACAGTAACAGAGTAAAGCCACCTCTAGGAAAGTTATGCAGCGGCCCTTTGCCTTTTCCATTTTATCATCTTCAGGTTGCCAAATGGACAGTATTCATCCCTTACAACAGCTTTCATTACTCTTGCTGTGTAACTGATCCATTTTTTAAAATATATTCTCAGTGGAGCTTACAAACATTGGGTAAGCAGTACACAGCAACAGCCTCTCTTTACAAGATACATGGGCCAGTTGTGAAGCGTTAAAGCTAGAACCCAGATTCTTCAAAATTTGACTTTTTATTTTGGTTATCTTCTGAGTTCAAGCAGGCTACCATCCCATAGGCAACTGAGATGTGGGTGACCTGCCCATGGGAGAAGTCCTTTGCTGTGGTCACACCTAGGCTTTGGAACTCCCAACTGAGGACAAACCATTTGGCTACCTCACACATTTCATGATCATCTGAAGACATGTTTATTATAGCTAGCTTCTGGCCTTCCAGATTTCAAATTACACTATCTCTTGGTTTGTGAACAGATTTGCCTTCTTGCTCTTTGTTTTAGTTATTCTTTAGAGGTTGGAAATACTGACCACAGTGCTATTAACTTTGTGTGTAAATAGGGAGTTGCAATGCAGTAATATATGATTTTAAATGAGAAAACTTCTCAAAACTGAGAAGACTACTAAGAAGGAAGATAAATGGGAAAGAGGATTAAATCAACATTTGAGGATTATTAAAATCTGTAACAATAAAAGTCTAGCAGAGAATGCATACTCCAGTTCAGAAAAGATGCTATGAAGTCTCCTCCAGCATAACAAGTACTCTCATGAAAGCTACTGAAGGAGGAAAAAGGATTTCTTAAGAAAATTGAAGTGTTGTTACCCAGATAAGAAGAGAGAAAAAAATATTTTTGCACGAAAGAAGCAAATTTGCATGTATAACAGATTTTAGGAGAATCTTACTATTTTTTTGGATAAAGTAGATGGGAAAAAGCTTTCTTTTATATTTCATCTCACATTCGTCCAATGAAATGAAATAGTGGGAGGCTTAGCAATATGAACTGCTATATGAGCTGGATAGGGATATTAAAGGTATGTTTTGTTTGTGGGCTTCCTATAATCTTGATTGATTACTGCCAACTCTCAGTGAACACACAGATACTTCAGGACTATCTGTCCTCAACCTGGTCCTTAAGGTCTTTGAATGTTGCACCCATCACCACTGTAACTGAGTCCATCCACCTCACTCCTGGTCATCCTCTTCTTCCCTTTCCTTCCACCTTTCCCAGCATTATAAACTTCTCAAGAGAATTAGGTCTTTGCATAACATGTCCAAAATTATGATGAGTCTGGTCATTTGTGCCTCAGGTGAGAACTGTCAGTTGATTTGTTCCATGATCCATTTGTTTGTTTTCATGGCTATCAATAGTATTCTCAGGAGTTTTCTCTACACTTTCTATCCTTCAAAATTCAACTTTCACTTCCATAGAGTAAAAAACCATTGCTTGCACAATTCTGATCTCAGGAGGCACAGACACATCCTGGCATCTGAATATCTTTTCCAAAGCCTTCATGGTTATGCTACAAGATTCTATTGCAGCATATTCCTTCACTGCTAGTTCCTTTATTGTTGATAGTCAATCCCAAAAGGCTTTCTATAATTGGGCCATTATGGACACAGAACTAGATAGGGTTTTGGTTTCATCTAGCAAAGCTCTTATGTTTCTAAATGCAAATTAGAAATAAGCAATCTGGAAAAAATACCACCATTCTGTTTTCATTTACACTGTGAAATCATGGAAAACTGCAATTGCTCTACAAGCCATCCTTTGTAACAGAGATCAAATTAATATTTAATTGGCATCTTCAGTATTAACTATTTTTTAAAATAAATTAAATTGACAGCAAGATATGGTTGACAAAACATAGCAGATAAGCTACAATTATCTTCATCTTTTAATGCAAAAGAAACCCTCATATTTTAAAAACTTTCGTTAAGGGCAGGCTCATAATATTTTCTCCTCTTTTGTGAGACCTTTCTCCTCTGAACATGTGTGTAGAAATATCAGATACTTTGGGGTTTGAACTCTCAAGTACTTCGGGTACATCAAACAGGCCTACTTTTCAAAAAGAAGAGGCTGAAGTTTTAAAAAGGCAAAGGGAGTTTCAGTGTTTCTTCCACTCATGGCTGGAATCACTTTCACAGCTCCATGGCATGCACTTCTTCATTTAAACAGATTGCCCCTGGAACAATTCGATGGCCTGAAAGTACATCACTCCTATGAGGCATTCTTTCCCAGGTTAAAAGGAAATTCTGCCAAGCTGCTGAAGGCAGCTTAAGCACTATTTGAAATTTCAGCAGCTACTTTTTATGAAAGAAACATCCAACTCCTGCCACCTCATCTTTAAAAGAAACCCATCTTATACCCAACATTTCTGAGTACTCATTCTTCTGAAAATTAACACTTTAAAAGAACTAGTATGGATATTTTGACACAGCATTAATTTATGTATGCAAACAAGGACATTTAAAAAATATACTACCCAGCTACCCCATTTACCCCTACAGATCTTACTTGACATGTAATCTGCTATTGAATGGCAATGTGGCAGAGCATTTTCCTGTTCTCAGATTGTAGCATTTCTTCCTAAGGAGACTCAACAAGTTGCCTTGTTACTGGCATTTAAGAATTGTATTGTACTACAAAAATAGAGATGCAAAACCCTTTTGGTTCATATTTTTCATTTCTGAATAATGGCACCTATCTATACCTTTTATAGACACTTTATGTTAATGGTCTTCTGGACTAATTCAACACATTTTTCTGCAAAATAAGT